GGTTGTTTAATCATAAAATGTATTTCCACAATTGATTTCAAGAAATCTTGGGAGATGAAGTGCTGAAATCAAAAGATTTTTTTTGTGTAGGAAGATTTTTAAGCGCTATCAAGTGGGCTTGGCTCAGTGGCCAGATTAATGGTGTAATTAAGAAGGGGTCTGCGGTGCATGATAATGTGCAGTACATCGACAGCCTGTAATATGGCACCTATCATTGGGTGGCTTTTGATGGCGGCTGCCATGTTCACTTGTGTAACCACGCCAGAGCAGGCAGGGGGATTTGTAACATTTCTTTTTCAAGATTCACGCAGCCTTTGATTGATGCAAGTTTAGGTATACGGCATAATAATCTCTTTATTCCTCTATAAGAGGGTTAGGGTAAATTGATGCCTCTCTGTGTTTCTGCAGACATAAAGCACTGTCAATTCTGACCAGCTTGAGTGCCCATAAAAAAACATCTGTTCACTTTTCAATGTTTGTAAGAATGTTTGTAGATGGAATATGAATTGGGAGAGTTCGACGTAGGTAGGGTAACTGGAGGAGCACATTCATTTTTAGTATATTGTTTCTCCCATACCACTTGTGCATGAGCATGGAAATTAAAAGTTCTGGTTTAGCAACATAAAAGAGTAGATCACCACCGTATGCTGCGACTTTATATTGTGTTTTGTGTGTGGATTGGCTCTGATGTTGAATAATAGGGGTTTAAATGACAAAATAAAAATTAGGGGGGAGAGTGGGCATATCTGTCTAGTGCCATTTGTCAGTGGAAAGTCAGGAGCTAGGTGGAAATTGTTGGCTGGGCCATTACTGCAGCCACTTAGCTGCAGTCACTGTTTGGGTATTCTTATAGCCAAGTGAGACAGCTGTCAGAATACAATTGCCAGCACGGGAGATTCCTCCATCCATGTTGTTTAGCATAGATAGGGCAACTTGATGGTAAAGTGCATGGCCAGCTTAAGGCTGCATCCCAGATGGGTGTCAGACATTTGCCTACATAACTGTGTGTTAGGTATTTTTTTGTGCAGGTAAATGTAGACTTAGCTGGACAGCACCAATAACCCAGTACTAGTACATAACCTGCATACATTATTCGATTCTTGATTCACTACAATGATTTACTACAATGCAAAAACAAGGAGCTGTAACGAACTATGTAGAGCAAAACCTATCTACTTGGACATAAATGGCATGGGACTGTTTATGCAGGCCCTGACACTGCAATGTTGGTAAATCTAAACAAGATTAAATTGTATCTATAGCTAAAACCTTTTTTTAGATTTGGATATAGTAGGGAAGGGTTAAAACTACTATCAGTTCATTTCTTAATGTCCGTGTCCCGTTTGGGAGATTACCCTTCACTTCCCGTCCAAGAAATGCAGGAAATCTCTACAAAGAGGAATTCTATTCTTGGACAGCTATTACCAAAGCAGGTGTCCCCACTGGCCAGAATGTTCTGGCGGGAATG